TTCTTCTTCTTCTTCTTCTTCTTCTTCTTCTTCTTCTTCTTCTTCTTTCCCATGTAGTTGCTGATAAGTAGAAATCGCCATTTCTAAAAAGTGGAAGACAGCTCCCAAAGAATCCTTGCCTTCTTGTTTTCCTTCCTTTAATTTTTCATATTCCATTTTTAATTCATCCACAGATAGTGCCATTGTAAAGCTTTTTCTTCTTCTTCTTTTTTTTTAAGAACAACCCAAATGTTTTTAATCTTAAAGTAATTTCCAGGCGTTCCAAAGTTATCAAGCAATCCAAACAGACACAAAATATTTCCTCTTCTTCTCTTTGCATTTTCTCCTCCTGGGGCAAAATCCCCAAATATATTTTAAAGCCTTATTACAGTTAATTTCTGGTCTTGTAATCTTCAAGGCATCTCCTCCAACAAATTCTTAAAGATTTTTCAGTCTTCTCCCTTCCCACTTATAACAAAGAGCTTATTTTTACCTTCTGTAAAGAAGCAGGTTTTTCAATGTCCATTTGCTATCTCTGTAAGGAAAGGGAGTGAACTTTCCCTTTCAGCACTTTCGTCCACCGCTTTGACAGCCTCTTTTGGAAACAAATGTATCAATCAAAAAATCAGATTTCCAGGGTGCTTAAATGTATCTTAATGTCCCGGTTCAGCCAAAAAACTTTCTCTTTCTAATTCTTCCTCCTGCACAAATCTTGTCTGGTTGAAGATCTCTTTGTGGCTGCCATTACTGACAGCCGCTCCACCGCCTCAGGAAAAAGGAGTCTAGCCGGCTGGGGAAAGGGGTTGCGATGTCCTCAGACCCCTGCCCGGGTCTCCTCTATCTTCCGCTACCTCTCCGGAGTAGTGACAACCCCCAAATCCAATTGGATCGGGGGTACTTCAGCAGCGAGCACAGCAGGGACCCACAGGATCGTGGATTCTGCCGCCACCAAAGCCTTGCAACCGGAAGTCCACAAGTTTTTTTTTTTTTTTATAGCTTGCCATCTATTTGATTTCTATGGGAAAGGATCTTAGCTAATGTGTGTCCCATGCAAAGTTGGGGGCTAATGGAGCTGTCCCTGCTTGTGTTTTCACCTCTCCTTTCTTTTAGGGGAATTTTCCTTTCCCTTCTAATGTTCTAAGATTTCTTTTCTTTTCCTAGAAGAGAGGGGAACCATAATTTCCAACAATATATGATGGACAGCAAAAGCTTCCAAAATAATTGTTAAGCGCCAGGAAAATCAGGAGATCCAGACAGTTCAAATGGGTATAAAATTTCTTACTATTTTCACTTACCCTTTTCTTTCCCTAAAATTTCAAAGAAAGGATCCCTTGGTCGTCCAGAGAATTCTTCCGGGAATCTGGTCATTCCTTCTTTCACAGCTTTGAATCCAGATAGCACGACTAGAAGGTAATGCCCAAATGACATGATGTATAGATTTCCATATTGTTTTACATGCTGCCAAGTGAATCAAAGATGAGATACATTACAATGAAATACAGATTCTTTACAGATAATATGCCACCTAGAGTCCTTCCTGAAACCCAAATGTTAACACATTTCACCATGGGCAATTCTCAACTCTTTAGAAGCCCCTTTCCCCCTAAGATTCCTGCCAAGAATGTCTTTATCTACTTTTCTTTATTTTCCTGGGATGTTCCTTTAGGTTTCTGTTTGAAATTTGCCATTTGCCATCTGTTTGTTCTCTTCACCTGATGCAGTGGTGGGATTCAAATGTTTTTACTACTGGTTCTGTGGGCATGGTGGGGCTTGGTGGGCATGGCAGGGGAAGGATACTGCAAAATCCCCATTCCCTCCCCACTCCACTAACTTGCTTTCCAGCTCCGTTCTCCTGTGCAGGGCAAACCAAAGAAGACCCAGCCAATCAGCTGGGACTTGGGAGGCAGAGAAGAGATGGGGACGGGGCCAGTCAGAGGTGGGCTTGCCAGTTCTCTGAACTACTCAAAATTTCCACTACTGGTTCTCCAGATCCTGTCAGAACTGGCTGAATACCACCTCTGATCTGATGGGTCGCAACCTGAATTAAGATTGACTACAAGAACAGCACTATCTCCATACAAGGTATTGGGTAAGTAGTTAAAAAGAAAGACCAAGCTACTTGTGAAAGATGATTTATGAAGATATTATAAAGGGGGAGCCCTGTTACTCAATAGTTGATCAAATGTAGTACAGGCAGTGATGGTATTCTACCAGTTTGGCCCGGTTCTGCAGAGCCGGTAGCAGCGATGAGCAGTGGAGACCAAACTGGTTCTCTCTACTGGTCTGTTATTGGGCCCAACTGCCCACCTGGGCTCCCATAATTACCTTTGCCAGTTGCCAAGCACCTGAATTTTGATCATGTGATTGTAGAGATGCAACCAAGTTTGCAACTGTGCAACTTCAACTGTGAAAAATGGTCATAAGTCACATTTTCAGTGCTGTTGTAATTTTGAATGGTCATTAAATGAACCATTTTAAGTTGAGAACTACCTGTAGTACCCTTTCTGAGTGAAAACTGGCTGGTGACCTTCTACCGTTGCACCATAGGGAGTATCTTAACTTACTGCACCTCTGTCTGGTTTGCCAATTGCACAGTGGCAGATAGGAAAGAGCTCCAGAGGGTTAATGTCATTGCCCAGAGGATCATGGGTTGCCCTCTCCCCTCTTTGGAACAGCTTTATAGCTCCCGCTGCCTTAAGAAAGTTCAAAACATTCTCAAAGATCCATCTCATCCTGGGCACCCCCTTTTTTTGAACTATTACCGTCTGGCAGACAGTACTGGACAATAAAAAAAAACGGGCAAATAGGCTGAAAAACAGCTTTATCCCAGAGCAGTAACCATATTTAATTCTACTATATAGTGTTATATTAATGCAATATCAGGGGGTTTCAATTCAATTGTATAGAATGTGGAGGATGTGTTTTTTTATATATATATAGTTTTCTTATGTACACTGAAGATGGCATTTAATTTCATTGTACAAGGTGCAATGACAATAAAGTAAACTTAATTTGCAGACCATAGACCACAACACTGCTAGAGAAAGAGGTCGTCTTCAATAGAGGACAAATGCACCCTGATGAACCTGCATTGCTCTTCATGTTCTCATTTACAATTTGCTCACCAAGAGCCAGAAAGTGTAAGAAAGCGAATTGCTCCAGAGAAAGGCAGAAAATTTGAAGCAAAGAATGTACATGTGTTTCTTGGAAGACAGTCATGAACAATATTTCTGAGTCATAAACTGTCCCCCCCCACCATTTCTGCTCTGCTCTGTGTAATTGTTGCTTGGAATTGCATTAGTTTAAATCAGGGGTCTTCAAACTCGACAGCTTTAAGACTTGGGGACTTCAACTTCCAGAATTCCTCCTCCAGTCATGTTAGCTCAGGGATTCTGGGAGTTGAAGTCCACAAGTCTTAAACTTGCCAAGTTTGAAGACCCTGGGTTTAAGTAAAAGCCGAATGGTACTTCCTTCCAAGGACAGTGTAAGCACTAGACTTTTTCCCTTCAACCGAAAAGAATGAATTTCTGAAAGCTAGGTACTTCAAAAGGAATTCTTTAATGAAAGGAGTAATCCAGATACTAGTCTAAGCAGAGTCTAAGATACCCCCAGGCATACAGGGACAGATAAAGGGAGTTAGAACCCCTCCCCTTATTCTGATGTGGATTTAGTCAACCAAAGAAACAACATGTTAATCCCCCCCCCCGCCCCTTTCTGGGAACGTATCTTGTCTCTTCTCCTCTTGCTATCTCTCCAACAGGTGACAAGGCTCCAGGCATCTGGCTCCAGTCATATATCGTGTGCAAGTTATACAGATTAAATAGAAGGCTTAAGATATTCAGGTTACATCAAAAAGGATTACTTTCTATATCTTCTTCGATTTTCTTAAATCTGTCCTCATATTTCATCATCAACTGTTGAATATTCTCTACTTTCTCATCTGTCTTTTCAGTTATTTGCTTAATATTCTCTGTTCCCTTTTCAATCTTCTGGATTCCTTGCATAATCATCTGCAATGTCACTTCCTTCTCTTTCTCCTGTTGTAACATTGTCTGTATTGATCGTTGTCCTCCAGATGGTGAAGAGGAGGCTATTGGTATTGAAGAAGCTGGGGCCGTTGTCTTTCTGCTCATCTTGTAATACTTAGCTATAAAAAAGAAAGAGAAAAAAAAAAGATAAAAAAAGAGAGCGAAAGCAAACAGCTGCCACTCCAAAAATTAAAAAAGGAGGAGAAAAACCTTCAGGCATTTGTATACCTTAATCCAATTGGTTCCAGTAATATGCAAAAAGAAAAGGGAAGATGTGGAAAAAAGGATAAAAAGGATTTTTTTTTAATGAAAAAGACGATAAGGGGAGGGAAAAAAATTCATCTATGTATTTCTCTTAATAAAAAAGAAAGCAAGAGAAAAATTATATTCTAGTTCCTGGGTTAAAAGGCTAAAGTCCAAACATAAAAATCCAACTAGAGGGGAGTTAAAAAAAAAAGAAAATAACAAATAGCAAAGAATTCTAACAAAAAGCAAGCCGCTGCCACTAAATATACAAGGCTCTTTGGTAAATCAACTCAGACTTTCCAGTTCCAGTATTTTCAAGGTCACTTCAATCTTTTTTCTTTCAACTTCAACTCCAGACACCGCCTATCTATAGTTTCACAGATGAGCAGCTGTATAAACAATCTGCCAGGCTCATCCCACTATCTTTTTCAGTGCAAAGCTCAGAGTCCTTGAGTGTAAAACCAATACACAAACAAGTAAGAGAGAAAAGAAAACAGTATATCCAAGCCTCTTGATGGCAGTGCTACTTATTTTCCTTCATTTTCAATTCCCCTCATATATCCAAAGCCAGGAACAGAAAAAAAAAAGTAAAATCTTTTTTTTTTTAAAGGGAAATAAATAAATCTCAAATCAGAAAGAAGAGCCTTAATCAAAGCGGACTTTCAAGAGAATTGTTAAAAAAAAATTAAAAAATTAAAAAAGACCAGTCCGGTTTAAAATTGAGAAGCTTTGCCAAATTCCAAGTTCCAAGAAAAAGGGTGGTGGTGGGGGAAACCTTCAGTTTAACTAGCTTAATCTTGACGCTTGAGCTCTTTTCTCTTCACTTTTAATTTCACTTTAAGTCTTTTAGGGTGTTCTCTCCAAAAAACAATAAGTAAAAGTTCATCTCACCAAACTGACACACTTTCTTCCGATCTCTTCTGTTCCAGAGCTGTTCCAGCCTCAGTCACCGAAAAGGCTGCCTCGCCGTCAGCCGCAAAAAGGGCTTCTCCTGGATCAACCAGGGACTTCGCGGTGTCCCTGGGATCAGCAGGATGTGCCCTTATTGATCACCGTCTCTACGGGATGGTTTAGGTTCCAGTGGGACCATCCAACAGCAGAGCTATTGGCGGCAATCTTGGAGCATCAAGATCGCGCATCATACTGCTGCTATGCCAGCTCTGCCCTCCTGCAACCTATTTTTTTGGGGGTGGGGGGGACTTCCAGTCCATCATATTTTCCCCTAAAATTGTTGTACTGCTGCAGTGTCCAGCAGTCAGGGAAGATTACTTTCAATGTCCGACTCAGATCTTCCAGTACTTGATGATGTGATGCTGCTGTTTTCCCCAGACTCCAATGGTTGTAATTGTGACTCTTTTGGATCGCCTTTTGTTTTCTTGCCGAAGAAAGCAGCCAAACTCATTTGCTTTATCATCTTGGTAATGTACTGCAAAAAAAAAAAAATTCAACAATGTAGCGATTTAGACTTGATTGTTGTTGTAAGTTGAGTGGTGAAGGCAGTGGCAAACAAAGAAAGCAGGTGAGGAATGGAGATCAGTAATATTCAGTTACTTTTAATTGTCCCTGTAGCTAGTTAGTATTTAAAAGATGTTATGGAAAAGGAACAAGTTTCACCAGACAAGACTGAGACGGAACTGAAAGTGGATTTGACAATGACAGTCTATTAAAAAAAAGATGCTGCACTGTGTATATAAAAGAATGGCTGATATTTTAATAATTACAATTCATTAATTGAAAAAGAAACAGTTAAAATGAAAATACTATTAACAAATCAAGGGAGTTTGTTATTTTGTGCCACTACTCTCAATATGTAACAGTGTAACTCTGTCAAGGACCTTGGAGTACTCATCTCTAATGATCTAAGTGCTAGAGCCCACTGTAACTACATAGCCAAAAAGGCATTAAGAGTTGTTAACCTAATCCTACTTAGCTTTTTCTCTGGTAATATCATACTACTAACTAGAGCATACAAAACATTTGCTAGACCAATACTCGAATACAGCTCATCAGTCTGGAACCCACGTTACGTATCTGATATTAGCACAGTTGAGAAAGTCCAGAAATATTTCACAAGAAGAGTTCTCCACTCCTCTACTCATTGCAGAATACCTTATGCCATCAAACTAGAAATTCTAGACTTAGAAAACCTTGAATTACACCGTCTTCGGTCTGATCTAAGTATGG